AAAAAAAAAAAAAAAAAAAAAAAAAAAAAAAAAAAAAAAAAAAAAAAAAAAAAAAGTGTCACCTGTCCCCATGCTGGATTTCCTGCCTCTTTCTGCCATCAAACGAGACCCAGGCTGTGTTGCGAGCATCAGGTGACAGAGTTATCTACAGGGTAAATACGGTTAGCGGTAAGATGACGCAAACAAATGTTCTTCTGAAGCTCTCATTTGAGAGAAATAAATAAATAAAACCATATTTGGCAGATTAAGTTTCATCAGTGAAATGGAGAAACCTCAATCCTATTCTCACCATGAGCTCCACACCTGCGGGCACCATGATGGGTCTAAAAGAGAGGGAGTGAGGGCAGATGGGGGTGACCATGATGGCAGGGACGTTGGGATGGATCATGGAGGCTCCCGCTGCGGCAGCATAGGCCGTGCTGCCTGTGGGGGTGGAAACTATTACACCTGCAGAGAAATACACCATATATTTGCATTTATTTTCATGGCAGCTGAACTCTCTTGTCAAAGCAAATGAACAGACCATAACGTATTGAGGCATCTGCTTGAGCTAAAAGAAAAATAATGAAGCATGTCTAAACTTTTTCTCACTTAGAATGCAAAACAAATCAAAGCTACAATGCCATTAAAAAGTCTGTTGTCGGTAAGATGTTTTAATGCTTTTGATGTCTCTTATGCTCAACCAGGCTGAATTAATTTGATATACTGTAAATACAGTAAAAACAGTAATACTGTGAAATATTGTCATTTATTCCTATAACAGCAAACTGAATTTTTACCAGCCATTACACTTCAGTGTCAAGTGATCCTTTCGATAATCATTCTAATATGCTGATTTGATGCTCAAGAAACATTTCTTAATATTATCATCAATGTGGAAAACAATTGTGCTACTTAATATTTCTGTGGAAACCATCATACTTTTTGTCAGGATTCTGTGATGAATAGAAAGTTAAAAAGAACAGCATTTATAGGCCAATTCACACTGCACAGACAAACACCAACAAACAAGTTGGCCGTTGGATTTAGAATTTTATGAAAATGTCATGTTCACACTGACCCAACAGACACCAACAAATGCTGACTGAACATGTTCACTCGGGTGAAAGGGGTAACACACTGATCAGACAAAACCCAACAAACGTGTTTGTTGTTGTTTGTCTGTGTGGTGTGAATTGGCATATATGTCAAATAGACATTTTTTGAAA